GGAGACTAACTTTGCTCTTTCTTTCGAGACGCAAAAAGAGAGGCAGCCATGGGTAAAATGATAACAATAATCCAACACCAATTTTCCCTTTTATTAGAATGTATGAATTTATGATCATATGTATATGTTTGATTTGAGTATATATGATATAAATTACAATAGGTGTTAAATGATTTGTGTGAATACATGTAGTGTGATCAGTTATAGGATCTAATATGAATGATCTATATGATTGCATGGGAAGTGAAATAAGTTATATGATGGATGACCATACATGTTACATGGTATAGTTGATTAATTATGAGAATCAGTATAATATATTTATGACTACATGAGATGGGTGATGAGTTAAATAAGACCAGACTATAGAGTAATATGAGAATATTTAAGAGAATAATATATAAATCAGAAGATAATAAATTAAGAGATTTTATGAAAATGGTATATATATAAATTAGAGGACATGAGCATAACGATGATACGAACCTATAGGATAAACACTATAGGAAAAAGTGATATGCTTAAAAGAAAACTATGATATAGAAGTTATAAAATGAAGAACTATAAAACCTTATGAAAAGGTTATAGGAGCTATATAGAACTAAATTAAATGGATAGAATAATTCATAATTACATAACGTGAGATAAGTGATAAGGGTTATATGTTATTGTACATGTTAGTATAATAAATCATGTAAGTTGATACAAAGGGAAAATGAGATAAAGATAAATAGCTTTTACCTATAGGATTGATATAAGATTATATGCCGGTGTGATAACATGTACAAGGGAACTAAGCTCTATGATATGGATCCATGTGAGTATAAGTAACGTGATTGCATAAACTATATATATATTTATATATGATTTGGTATATGCCATTTGATTCCTGGGTATACATGTAGATAATATATGTGGATATAAGCTATGCAAAAGTGATCTATGTGACTAGATGTATATGAAATCTAAGTGATATGACTTATAGGTATTTCTATTATAATGTTACATGATATGTATGTATGTTATATGAATTATGTGATGGTATAAGAAATGATATGAATTATATAGGCGAAAATATGTATATGTTATGAGATAAGACACATGACTATGAGTTATGTGAAAAACTATGTGATACGTGATATGTGAAAGTGAATTACATGTTTATGTGAATATTTGAAATGAAATAAATGATAATGCCCATGTTATGTGTCATGAGAGCTAGGGGTATATAGTTGGCATGCCAAGAGTCGAGGGTCTATGCGGTTCTTCGGGACATATGTATATTCTTTGGAACATTTATGAGGTCTTTGAGACACATACTTGGTCCTTGGTATATGTATATGATTCTTAAGGAATTTCTATGTGGTCCTTATGGACATTATATGGCATTACGGTGCATTTCTACGCGGCACTTCGGTGCAATTCTACGTGGCACTACTGTGCATTTCTACGCGGCACTTCGGTGCATTTATACGAGCTGTGGTGAGAGTATTAGTGCACAACCTCTATAGACTCACATATCTATAGTTCTCACAAGTGTACCATGGGCTAATCAAAGAGATAACATGAATACAATATATATATATATATATATATATATATATATATATATATATATATATATATATAATGTATGTGCTTTTGGTTACAGGAATTATGATTTATGGGTGTTTCTTGGTGAAATGATATATGTGTGATATGATATACATAAATGATAAGTACAAGATCAGGTGATAAATAATTGGATGATAATGACAGAAATAGTTATAATAATATATATGATAATGCTAAGAAAGTAGATGATGATATATGTACATGAGTGTATTTGTTATATAAAAAGGTGTGTGATTTTGTATGAAATTGTTATATGATTTTGTATGATAAGTTAGTATTAAATGTTCATGTGGTTTGTTATATGGAATGTTTTATGATTTCTATTATATGTTTTATTTGCCTCAGTAAGTCATTGACTTAGCGTGTGATTATTTCACACGTAGGTTCGAGAAGTATTGTAACACCCCCAACCCGTATCCGACCCGGATACGAGTCCGAAGTGTCACATTGACTTTTCAAACATTTATTCGTATAAAATAGTGAGTAATTTAAAAACTTTGATAACATTTAACTTATTCAAAATGTTTACAAAATGTATATCAGAGTTCATACAATTTATAGCTTTAGACTACATGCCAACTACACTCTATATACAGTACATATATTTTCTGATCTGACATTTGGTAAGGAAAACTGACATGTCTTGCTCCGCATTACTCTTAACTCTTCTCGAAACCTACGTGTGAAACAATCACACGCTAAGTCGAAGACTTAGTGAGGCATAACAACTTATAATGCACTTCATAACATATATCAATACATGCAAGTTCTGTTCTATCATGTTATACCAATTCCATGCATTCTTCGTATCATACAAAATCATATCAGATTAATTACAGTAAATACATACATACACATAATTCATCATATGGTTCACGTAACACATTTCAAACCACTTATAAACCCATCGTATACATATCACATTCAGTATGCTTGTTTAATCACTTTATTAGCCCATGTACACTAGTGAGAACTTAAGGTATGTGAGTACATTGAGGTTGTGCACACATATGCTGTCACCACAGCTCGATCAATGTCCCGAAGGACCAGTCCATAGATTCCGAAGAACCTAGGTAATCAGTCCATATGTCCCGAAGGACATAGGTAAACAGTCCATATGTCCCGAAGAACATAGGTAAACAGTCCATATGTCCCGAAGAACATAGGTAAACCCTCGACCCTTGGCATGCCAACTATACCCCTAGCTCTCATATCATATAACGTGGGCATTATCATTTATAACAGTTCACATTACTTATTCATATGCTTTCTCTTATAAACACATATCTTTTCTTTTCAGTCACGTATCACATGTACGTGTAATCATTGATCTCATAATCACATGTTCCTTCTTTTCTGTCACATACCACATGTATGTGTAAACATATATCTAATATCATATGTTGCATGTAATCACATAGATCTTATCTCATAACATATACTTATTTTCACATATATATTTCATATCATTTCTTATACCATCACAGAATCCATTTAACATACATAACATATCATGTAACATTATAATAGAAATACCTATAAGTTATATCACTTAGAGCACATAAAAGAACATATCAATTCATATAATCAAGCATACATACATGCATATTCAACTCATGCCTTTAATCATGAATTCATGTGTAACACTTCAGAAATTAGACTCATCGCAAGTCTTATTTCCATCGCACATCATATACTATTGAATATGCACTCACCTGGACTCACTAGTCAATTCCAATCTCTTATCTTTCCCTTGATCGATCTTACTTGCCAAACGTTCCAGAATTTCTTTATGCGTAGAATCTACATAAATGTACATTTCGAGGTAATCATTAGATACCTACACCTTTTAATTAGATACTAGCAACTTAAACGAACTTATTAAACCAATATTCCCATTTTTCCTTTAGGGGGAATCGGTTCCCTACTGAGGGGTATCGATTCCCTCAAGACATTCTGGAATTCTGTCGTTTGAAGGGGTATCGGTTCCCCTTGAATGGGTACCGATTCCCCTTGCCCAGAAATCATATTTCAGCCCGAAAATTACTTCATTTTCTCTCAACCACTTCATATATCATCCCCTTTTCCATTCTTAACTCTAGTACACATACTTAAACCAATTTATATTCATTTATTTCATCTTAAACCTCAAAATCCTATATTCCATATGAGATTCAAAAATCATACCAAATTTTCAATGTGTTCTAATTCCAATTCTAACACTTCATACTTCTTAATTAGATTGATGACAAGTCAAATTCATCCCTAAAACTTCAACAACCATACCATATCAAAATTTCCTCTTAAAACTCATATTACAAATTCCTTCATAATTCCTTTATCTTATTGTTTAAATCACATATAAGCTTTCCTTAAGCTTATTTAATACCCAAAGAATCAAAACTAAGCTTAAAACTCCAGAATTAACCAACTAAAATTAGACTTACCTTTGCCTTGCTCTCCCACGTATGAAGAAGAAGAAAGGAGCAGAGAACTCTGGATACTTCTCAAATTCCCCACGTTTATATTACCTAAAAAAATTATAAAAAATCTTTCTGATCAATTGACCATAATACCCTTAATTTCCTTTAATAATTACCAAATAACCTTCAATATATATTCAAATAATCATTGAATTCTTTCATTCTTCTACTTTAGTCACCAAATTCTGAAACTTTACAATTTGATCACTAACCCGGTATTGAGGATGTTACAAGTATCTCCTTTACAAAGTTCAGATCAGAAAATATATGTATTTGGCATGTAAATAAAAATTTGAATTCGATATACTCGAATTGGTTTTGTAAAATCATATGATACTAATTTATGTAAATTAGTCAATTGTATTTAGTAAAAGTTTTAAAATTATTCACTATTTTGTTCAAGTAAAGGTTTTGAAAAGTCAATGTGACATCTCAGACTCGTAGACGGGTCAGGTACGAGTTGGGGGTGTTACACAATACACCCCGAAACACTCACCTTACCCCCGAGATCTTGATTCTAGCCCCGAAATACCGAGATAACACCTAGATCGAAGCAGATCTAGTCGTGAATTTACTCTCCCTTACCCTTTTTCCGACGATTCCTTCTCTTCCGAGGGCTTCTCCAGTTTAGTTTTCACTTATTTTGCTTGATTTTTGTTGTGGGGCTTCGACCTTTGGTGTATGTGTTTGTTGATGTTCTTTTTTGTGTTGTTGGCTACTGTTTTTGTGGCACCGTTTATGGATATGGCTGTTTTCGGTTGGTTTCTATGTTCTGTTTTTTTGTTTGTTCTCGATGATAATGTTCTTTGTGGTTTCTCTCGTCCGATTGTGGTGGTGGTTGTTTGGTCTCTCTTCTTTCTCTGTTCCGTTTGGTGTAGTCGCCTATTGTATTTATAAGCCTCGATGGGGTCTGTTTCCGGCTGTTTTGGGGTCGATCCCGGATATTCCGGGGTTGTTCTCGGTGATCTCGGATGGTTCAGTCCGAGTAGTTTCGGTTTTGGTGTTGCACATCGCCGAAATACTCGGTCGACCGGTGACTTTCAGTCCTCTGTAACTCTTGATCTCGACTGTTGGATTGGGTCAGATCCAACGGTCCAGGATCTACTGCGGTGCTGGACTTAACGTGGAAACCCTAATCATTGGATTTTATTTTTGGGCTAGGTCAGACCCTGCTGTTGGACCCGTACATTGTTACTTGATGAAATTAAATTATATAATAATAAAACTAAATTAAATTAAATTAGATTAATAAAATGAAATGAAATAAAATAAATATTAATAATAATATAAATTATATAATATATATGTTTCAAAAAAAATATTTTTTAAACTATATATTATATTTAAAAACGTTTTCAAAACTATATATTATATAGTTTTCAAAAATGATTTTAAAAATATAAGTTTTCCAAAATGTTTTTTTAAAACTATATATTATATAAATTTTCAAAAAATGTTTTTTAAAAACTATATATTATATTTTCAAAATGATTTCAAAACTATATACTATATAATTTTCAAAATGTTTTAAAACTTATATATTGTATATAAGATTTCAAAAACGTTTTAAAAACTACATAATATATATTTCAAAAAATATTTTTTAAAAACTATATACTACATTTTTTCAAAACATTTTCAAAAATTTATACTATATTACTATAATAAAAATAAAAAATCCAAACTCGGATGAAAATGAGTTTCTACAATTACGACACTTAACAAAGCTTTTGCATGTCAGAAAGAGACCAAAGGGACGAATTGGGGCAAATTGCAAGTTTTTGTCGACGTTTCTTTTAATGACTTAAAACTTCAGTCTTACTCTGTAATTTTCCAATTGATCTTTCATTTGTTAATTCCCCAAATCGGAATTGGGTCAGCAGAAGCCTATTAGGAACGCCATTATAGTTCACAGTTAGCCGCTTACCCAATAAGGTTGTCCACATTTAAGAAGGCTGAGGGTGGTAGCTAGACATGGAGATAGAGACGTGTACAGGAATTTGCCCAGGATAAGCAAACAAATAATTGTCTTTTAAATATTTTTCATTAATAATACATTTTTACCATTTAAAATTTTATGAATTCGTTTTCTAACATAAAATTATATGTCAGTCCTTAAACGTATAAAAATTATTTTCCAATATTATTCTAGAAATCAAAGTAATTGAAATCACGGGAAGCGCAGTAGAAAAAACAAAGGACTCAGGATGGAATTAATGTTCCAGCTGCCATGGAAAATAGAGGTTAATAATTGTGCCATATCATTTATAATCGTTGTTTGTAAAGTCTTTCTTAATATCTACTACATTCTGTTTCTTCCCTTTTGGTCTGGATACCTACTGCATTCAATAGGACAGTGGATTTATATTGGCCCAGACTAGTAATTTTGTAACATACTTTTAACCCCTCATAATTTTGAAGTATGTTCAATCTCGCATTTTAAACTAGTTTTAGAAAAATGTAAGATGAACCACTGCTCGGGAATTATTAATTTAATACACATTGTTGAAGTCCTTTAAGTAGCATTTGGGACATTAATGTCTAGCATGTTCGTGGGCAATAATTAGTAAATTATTAAAAAAAAACATTTAACTTAATATATTTGATCTTTTTCATTTTATACCTACACCCATATCATAGTATAAAACAGAAAAAATGTTATACGAGAAAGATTTATTTATATAATAATTACTCATGCATATCTGTCTATTAAGATAATCAGTACGTATGACAGTTTTTCTATGGAAATTCATATGTATTGTATATGCTGTATCAGGCCTAGATCTTCTCAGTATCTTATGTCTTTATTTTAGGAGTAAATTAGTGCTTAAATTATCGATTTTGGTGTGTTTTAGTATTTAAATTTTTTTATTTTTTTAAATCACATCTAAAGTTTAACTTTTGTTTTATTTTAGTACCCACCATTAAAAAAATTAGTTTTTTGTTCTATTTTAGTACTCTCGTTCAAAATTCATTGTCAAGTTTTGAAAATATTGAAAGTTTAGGTACTAAAATGAACCAAAGTTGATAGTTTGCGTACTAAACGCGTTAAATTTTTAACAACGGTTAAAATGAAATGAAAACTAAACGTTAGATATGATTTTGAAAAAATTGAAAGTTTAGATACTAAAATGGACCAAAACTAATAGTTTAGGTACTAAATACATCATTTACTCTTTTTTCTAATTTTTGGTTTATCAAAGATTTATGAATTTTTTTAGAACTCTGAAATTCTTAAAAGCCTCACATCCTTCAAACAGTTACAGTCTTTTGATATAATTATTAATAGACCCATATAAATTGTTAGAGTAAAATTTATTATCGGACAATTAGATCTATTTAATCTACTAACCTACAAATAAACTCTAGTCCTGACACCAACATTAAGGACCAATATATAAATCACCATACAAGATTGATGATAAGAACAAACTCTTGATCTCTTGAGCTATTCATCATCTTTATGAACTCATTTGCTCTCTATCTCTTTCATAGAATCATCGATCGTCGTTCTCCGTTTAAATTAATAAAAGATAAACCGTTAAAAATGTCACCATAACCCGTTCCTCTCATAAACAATTGGGACAAAGAGCGTGGATTATTTCCAGACAAAAGAAATAATCAGTCAAGATAATCCTTCAAGAGTAGAGTAACCAATTCGAGTTTCTATCCTCTTCCCAGAATCCTCCAATATGCCAGGTTTTTTCGTCAACAATAGTAAGCCGTGTACAACATAGCACTACCATCTCATTAGGATATCTCCAAAATTAATTTGAGATCTACAATATTTGTTATAGTGACTTATAACTCATCACGTTGATGTGACGAGTTCTAATAAAATATATTTTTATTAGAATTTATTACCTTGATTTGATAAATTTTAATAAAAAATATATTTTTTAAAACTTGTCATGTCGACGTGATAAATTTAAATAAAAAATATTATTTAGATAAACTCGCCAGATGTGCGTGACAAATTTCTTTTGTATTCTAACGTTTTTTTGTAAATTCTAAATTAATTTTAAAAATGATCTAATAAACTATTTTTTTTTACCCACGTCACTTATCGGACCAATTTTGCGGTTGCATGCTAGCACTTATCACGGGCTTTAACATGAACTTCAATTTAAATCTAAAATATGGGTTTTAGACTAGTTTCTTTAATCTAAAATTGAAAGCCCAATTGAAACGAGTGATGCAAATAAGGGCGTTGTGTATTTTGGGTACATTCTAGGGTATATTAAAATCGCGGAGACTAACTTTGCTCTTTCTTTCGAGAGTAAGAAAGACGCAGAAAGGGAGGCAGCCATGGGTAAAATGATAACAATAATCCAACACCAATTTTCCCTTTTCTTCAAGTTTTATCTGTATCAAATGTTGAAGATATTAATTTTTTATCCATATTATTATTATTAATATTATTATTATTATTATTATTATTATTATTATTATTATCATCATTATTATTATTATTAAATATATATTAAACATATATATATAAATAATAATTACAGACCAATTACAACTGGACCGGCCCAGTTACAAACAAACCAGAACCGGTCCAAATCAAACTAGAAACCCTAAACATTTGGGGTTTCCAGTTAGGGTTTCCTAACCCTAATCTAAACCAGCCGCCTCAGCTTGCTGACGTTGGATCTGGCAAGATCCAACGGTCCAGATGGCTCCAGAGGGAAACCCTAGGGTTTGATACCCTAGGGCCACGCGGCGCCGCCCCCGTTTCCAAGCGGCTGCCGACACTTTCTCGCCGCCTCCGCCGCTGCCACGTCCCAACCGAAGACTCCAGAAGCTAGAACACCAGCCGTCCACGCCATAGCTACGGGGTGAGTCACCACTGGTAGTCCGGTGACTCACCGAGAGCCCTTCTTCGGACAGGTCCGACAGCTACAACGGTGGTGGCTATAAAAGCCACCACCCGAACTTGAAAAAAAAAAAAAGGGAGACAAAAAGAAAAGAAGGAAGACAGAAAAAAAAAAACAGAGAAAGAAAAAAAAACTACTAAACCAACGATCTCAGTCAAACATCCAGCAACCAAGAAAAGAAAGAAAAGAAAAAGAAAGAAGAGAAACTTACTGTCATCGGAGAACCCCAACCGCCACCGGATCTCGCCAGAACCTTCGAAACGCCGAAGGTATTTTTGTAGATTCGCTCCGATTCAAAGCTTTTTAAGGGAAGAGAACACCGGGACCGTCCTTAGGACGGTCCGATCTATCCAATAGTATAAAAATAAAATTTTCCGGCCACCGGATGCGGTGGCCGGCGGTGACGGTCACGGCGGCAGACGGTTGTCGTCCGGTGACCGGCTTCCCTCCGGTGAGGGAAGCTAGAGAGAGGGGAGAGCTTTGTTCATTCTCTCTCAGTTAGAGAGAGAATGAAAATTGAAAAATGAAAGAGATGGCCCGAAGGGCCGGCTGTCTTGGGCATTAAATAGCCCTTCCCAAACAACGTCGTTTTGGGAAGGACTATGCGCGTAATTATAGAATAGTTAAACCACGTCCGCAGTCATCCCAATTTGTAAACTTTACATTTTAGTCACTAAATCAAATTTATAATCCTTTTAATTTGGTTCTTTAATTTTAATTTTATTCATTTTAGTCCTTTATATTAAAATAATATATTTAGGATAAATAACAGATTTAATCCCTCAATTTTAATAAATAATATTTTAATCCTTAGTTTATATTTTTAATTTATTTTATTATAATATCCGAATTTTAGATAATTTTATTTTAGTCACTAAATTATTAAATAAGAAAATAGCATGTTTAATCCCTAATACTTTGATTAATATTGAATTAAGTTTTTAATTTTACTATAATTTAGTCATTTAATTTATAAGTTTTCATTTATTTTATTGCTTTTAAAATATTGTTTTAGTGGTATTTTTATTGTTTTAATTTTATTTGTTTATATTTTTAATATTTTTATGTATTCATAAATATATATAATAAATCTGGAATAAATTTTTTAATGTTTATTTTTAATATCGAAGAAAAGGACAGTCTTAATACAACTGGATGTCCTATTATGATATTTTTTAAACAATACTAT